GTAACTGGTAGGTGACTGTTGCAGAGTATTTGTTTACACTGTAAAGATATGTCCTGGCCTAAGGCACCTTCTGATTGGTTTAATAAAGAGCTACATGGCCAGTAGCTAGGCAAGAAGAGAGAATAGGTAGGATTTTGAGGCAGAGAGAGAAAAACAAGCAGGAGGAATTTGGCATGTGGTTTTTGAATGTGTAGTCCTAAGAAGTGGAAACCAAGCCATGTGGCAGAATGTAGATTAAAAACTATGGGTCAATAAAGTTATCAGAGCTAGTTGGGGGAAAGTCTAAGATAAGGGCCAAGGTTTCATAATTAATAAAAAGTGTCAAGGTCATTATTTGCAGGCTGGCAGTCCAAGAAAGTTTGACAAGAAAGCTTGCTACAGGTAACCTCCTTTCAGGCTCTGAATGAATAATGGTGCCACACTGTTGCTAGCACAGATCTGTCTTCAGCTGGAGAGTTTCTCCACACTCTTCTGTGCACTCTTCAAAATGCTCTCTTGGCTAATCTCTACCTTGTTTATGTAATTTGAATATATTATCATTCTTTAGCTAGGATTCATACTGAGACAACCAACAATTTTGTAACCTTAAGCAACTCCCTTGATCTTCTTGGCCTCAGTTTTTTGTTCTGTGAACTGGGCACAGCTTTAATGTCTTCTGTAGAAGGTTATCTTGAGAATAAAGCAAAGCTTTGAATATAAGGCCCTTTCTGAGCATTGTAAGCCCTCAGTAAATGCTATGGTAATTGCTATGACTAGCAGGGAGATGTTCAAACACTACCTTAATGCAACTCTAAGTCACTTCCTTCAGCTTGGGTTAAGTTTTAAGTCACAAATCAATAAAACAAGAAGCAAAAAAAATCCCTTAAAAATCCATCAAGTCACCTATCAGAGAGCATACAGTTGATTTTTTATTCTGTTCTGAGAATAGTTTTTACATTGATATCGGAGACTACATGAGCTTGACGTAAGAAGAGAAATCTATGTGCAAATGTCAGAGCATTCTACCACCTCTGTAGTTGGACCCCCGAGGAGACAGATGAAGCAACACTAAAAAATGTCCCCAGTATCTCTAGGGGTGACCTTGTTCTGTTCTCCGAACCAAGGTTCCATCTACCTACTGCTCCCTGGGGACTCAGGGATTGCTGTGAGGGTTAAAGTAGACAGCAGGCTATACTTTGGATTAGGTAAGCTGACTTCACAGGTGAGCTAAAAATAGTAAATACAATTTAGTATGTGCACCTGTGTGAGTGTGTCTGGGAGACTTTGTGGACGAGGCTGAGGACATCCTATGTGTTATTCTATCTAACCCTCATGACAACCCTGAGATGGCCATTGTTGCTGCTGTGGTTTGAATCTAAATGTTTCTCATGGGTTTATGTTTTTCAATACAAAGTCCCTTGCCGTGGAGACCATGGAGCCGTCACACAGTAGAGTCTGAGAAGATTATACCCATGCTTAATTCACATATGTATTCTTCATTTTGTATATGAAAGAAATCATCCAATATTTATCTTTCTGAGTCTGGCTTATTTTGCTTTGCATGATGATCTCCAGTTATATCATTTTCTGAAAACTATGCAATTTCATTCTTTTTATGACTGAATAAAATTCTATTGTTAATATATGCCACATTTTTTATCCATTCATCTGTTGATGGACATCTATGCGGCCTCCATACATTGGCTATTTTGAATGGTGTATCATTACACATGGGCATGTATTATCTCTGTGGTATGCTGTCTTAAAATTTCTTTGCATGTATGTATGTGCTCATGTGCGTGTGTGTATCCAAGACATAGAATCATGTGGTTTTTCTATTTTTACTTTTTTGAGAAACTTTCACACTGATCTCTATAGTGATTATACTAATTTGCATTCACTTTAGTAGTGTATAAGTTATTCTCTCCTCCTGCAACTCTAGCAGCATTGATTATCTTTTTTTTTTTGTGATAGCCATTCTGAGTAGGATGATGTGGATGGAGTTTAATGTAGTTTTGAGTTTTCCTATTGGGCAAGATGTCAAACATCTTTTCACATATTTATTGACTATCTGTACTTCTTTCGAAAACTATGCAGTTTACTTAAATGATTTTTGGCATTTAATTTTTTAGTTCTTTATAGATTCTAGATGTTCCCTTGCCAGATGTGTTGTTGGCAAAGATTTCCTTCCACTCTGTAGGTTTTTCTCCACTTTGTGAAGCTTTTTGATTTCATGCAGTCCTATCTGCCAGGGCCTGTTACTTCCTGAGATGCTGGGGTCTTTTTCTGAGAAGGTACAGATGCTGAGATCTTGAAGTGTTTTCCCAGGCAATTTCACACGTTCAGGTTTTGCACTAAATGTCTCTGGTCCATTTTGAGTGGGTTTGGATGAAGTGGTGATAGAGATCCAGATTTACTCTTACAATGTGAATATTCAGTTTTTACCTGGGGTTGGGGGACTATCAAATCATTTCTAGACTAACAGAACCAAAATCTCAAGAAAGCAGCCCGAATATTACTAGTTCAAACCAAACCAAACCAAATTAAATCTCTACCAGAATATTTGATTTCACACCCAGTGTTGGAATCATACTGAATGTTCAACAGGTCCTTGGGGGGGGGCATTGACAGGGAACCAGTTTCTTCTGAGGCAGAATCATCTGTGGCATAGTCCACAAGATTAATAGACCTTCCCCTAGGCAGATGAATGCAAAAGTTTCTCTAACTCAGGAGGTGATGTCGAGGCACGCAGACATAGCTATTTACAGGGAAAGTGGCCAACCAGAATAACTATGCCTATCTAATCCTGCATGCCGAATGATTCATTCATTCACCTGAATCCTCTAAGGTCCTCAACATGGAAAACATAATAAAGAATGGTTTTCAATGAGGTTAGCTTCTTTTTTGTTTAATAGAAACAATCTGATTGCTTTCCTCTCCCCATCTTTTAACTTGCTCTGTGTTTGGGAGCACCAGAAGCCTGCTGATGGCAGTGCTGGTGAGTGGCCAGCTGAGCCCTCTGGGGCTATGTGGATGCTGCCGGTAACCATTGTATAGCAGTTCATTTAAGGCTCTGCTTAAAGGGGATGCTGGTGATAGAGCTGTGTTTGGATAGGAGGTAGGGGAGTTCTTAATATCCTGCCTGGGAGAGATCCTGTGGATGTGTTCTCCAGCAGAAAAACAAGGAAAATCCCTAAATAGTAAATGACAACCTTAAATGCAAAGTCACAGTCCACAGGGCTTCTGAGAAGGCAATGTCAAGCGTACTACCAAGTTTTAAGATGCCAGTTTTACACACACGGGTTTTTATTAGGTTTTTTAAATTAAAATTAAAAGCCCAAGTCTGTAGAGACAATCAAAGAGTTTATTCTTTAAAGAAAATACAAGTTAAAATAATTGTGATTCATCAAAAAGTTTAATTTTTATGTGTTATGCGTATGTGCCCTACGAGCACGTAGGAACCTGTGGAGGCTGGAAGAGGGTGTCAGAGCGCCAGGATTGGAAGTTACAGACAGTTATGAGCTGCTTGCTGTGGGTGTTAGGAATCTAGCAAGAGCCATCTCTCCAAACCGGAGTCAGAATAGAACACAGATCTAGTCAACGTACTTGGCAGGCACAAAACAGGAGAGGGGAGCTTTTTTTCCTTATTTCTCTCGTCCACCTAGTTTTCCTTGAATCTTTTGTCCAAGAAACAATCTTTTACAGACCTTAAAATTAAACGAACCTTACTTTCTTTTGGTTTCTGTAGCACAGATTGGTGTCAAACCTGAGAACTTGCCACCTAAACCTGCTGAGCGCTGTCTGGGATTACAGCCACACATCACCATGCCTGGTTTAGCCGAGCGTTTTTTTAAATGTCTTTCGTCCCAGGTACTTCTCATGGCACGGTGAGACTGAAGGTGACACCTCCAGTTTGCCTCTGATGGAAAGAAGCGAAGGTGGAAGAAAAAAGAGCTCCTCCGGGCTAGGATTCTGGAGGGGACCCCAAGGAAAAAGAAATGAGGTTCTGAGATCCTGCTCAGAAGAGCCTGACAAGCCCCAAGAGACGGGCTCACACCTTTTGACATCTTTATTTACACTTTGCAAACCTCTCAAAACAGTGTGTTTAATTCTTATCACGGCTCCGCAAACGAGGTTGTTTTGAGTTCCATTGTCCCTCAGAAGAAAGGAAGGCTTTGCCTTCCAGGTGGTCACAGGGTCAGCATGTGGCGGAGCTGTAGGTGTCTTCTGTGTCTCAGTCGCCAAGATAATAAAAGCTGCGCGGAGTGTGTCATTATTATGCAAAGCTGGGCAGAAGGCTTGGACTCTCCCTTGCAGGAGCCCATCTGTCTTTTCGCGCCGCCCCCTAGACTCAGAGGCCTGCGTGTGGGTGGAGATGCGTCCCCAGCGCTTGGCCGTGACAGTTTCTCTGAGCCTTCCTAGCCTGTGCCCTCCAGGCAGACCTCTTTCTGATTAAAAAACACCGCTCCCTCCCCCGAAATTATTGCCTCTCTTACACCCCGCCCGCCCCGGGGGAATCACATTAATGTTAATCTAGATGAATAATCGAAGGAGGACCCGCAGCTGGGTCGCAGTTCTTTTCGGCCACCTGAGGGTTCCTGCGGCTAGGATTCTGTGGTACTCCCTATCCCAGAAGTGGTACCGCAAGGGTGGGTGTGCCCGCCTGCGCGATGTGAACCCGAGCAGGTGTCCAGGGAGTGATGGGGAGTGCCAAGGCTTCTCCAAGGATTGGGGACAGAGGGGCATCCCAGGACTCAGAGCTTGGCCCAGCGAAGGGTGACCCGGGGCCACTCAGACTCGAGAGGAAACAATAGAGACTCCTTAGATCCTGGGCTCCTGCCACCGGCTGTCCAAAGCTTTCCCGGACTACCGGAGGGCCTTTTTTTTTTTTTTTTTTTTTTTTTTTTCTAATTTATGGCTGGAAGCTGGTGGGGGGGGGGGAGGAACGACAGAGGAGGGACAACGTCTGAAGATGGGGGGCAGGGGCGACGGTTAAAGAAGTCGCCCGGGGCTGCGGCGCGGGTGATGTCAGCTCTGGACAAAAATAGAGAGGGATCGCCTGCAAATCCCCAGCTCCGGCGGGGCTAAACCTTGCAATCCCTCCCGGGCCGGCGCCGAGCCAGGGCGCATCGGCTTCCACCACCTCCCCCGGCGCGCACACACCAGCACACGCGCACGCACGCACACACTCCCCCGCACTCGCACTCCCCGTCTTTCCCGGTGCCCCTCGTTGCGGGCCACTCGCCGCACCCGTTTGCCCCGCGTGTTAAAGCACACACAGGTGGCGGCTGGGACGTGGGGAGCGCGTTCCTGCAGCCCTGCGGTCAGAGCGATCTCACAGGAGCCAGTGTGGGATCCCCGCAGTGCCCCATCGGAGCGCTGGCCGCGAGCCGCGCACGGGAACGCGGACCGCGCGCCGTGGATAGCCGGGACGTGGATTAGCGCCCGCAGCAGCCTCCCGCGCGCGCCGAGGCGCTAAAGGGCTTACCCAGGAGGGGGGTGCGAGGGCGGGGAGAGGCTGCCCGTTAAATACCGCTCCCCGCCGCACTCCGGGCTCACCCAGCTCGCTGCCACCGTTGCCAGATCGTGCCCAGGAGGAGGGGGCGTTCCCCGCGCCATGGCATCAACGGAAGGGTGAGAGGGGTTTTCTGGGTACCTGCGAGGAAGAGGGAGCCGCGCGCGGGGTGGTGCTGCCCTATCCCAGATGGGGCCAGAGAACTGTGACTCCGGACCTACCTCTGAAACCATGGCAGAGCGACAGCCAGGCTGGAGGTGGTGGGAAAAGGGACCGATTTCTTTGGTGGATTAGCTGTCCTTAGAGAAGCCAGAGACAGAGGATTGGTTCTAATGAACCGGGCGAAGTACCATGGGGGTGTGAAAAAGTGTGAAAAGAAATCCTCTGGAGGTTATTTCAGAGATTTAAAGGCAATAAAAGATTGTGGTGCCAGGAGACACTGTCTGGGCTGTAAGGTGGGGACCGGTTGAAATGAATGAGCCAGGACCAGAGCCCGGGCGGGGCAAGGAGCAGCGCGCGGCCTTGAACGCTAGCTTCGGGCGCGGGTGGGGGGATGGGGCGAGCCCCCGGCCCAAGAGATCTTTCCCCTTGTCCGTCGGAATCTCCCTGGCCAGCAGCAAGGAAGGGTGGAAGAGATTTGGGTGCTTCCCGAGAGGAGGGGAGAAAACCTGTAGCTTGAAGCAGGGCAAGAGTTTCCAGACTCTATTGGGAACACCATGGGCTTCCTTATTTTGCCTGTGGCCTTGGAGTTGCCTCTTGTCTCTTGAGGCTGCAGTTGGCATGGTGATCGCTTCTGTGATATAGAAGGACAACTGTATTTAGCCAAGGGGACGTGGGGAGGGGGGGATATGCAAGGACAACAGAGTTCCTTGAGTACTCACTCCAAGGCATCCTGGTCTTGTCTCAAAAATCAATCAAACAAACAAACTTTTCAGGCTTTCCAGAGCCTGGGAGGAAATCAAAAGAACAATTGGGGACCCCAACTTTTAGGTTATTTCACAAAATGACACTAGCTGTTGACAAGAGATCACTGGACCCACATGTGATTTCCAAAGCAAGTATGGGTGCTTCCCAGGACTCAACAACGAGATCTTGGTTCTTGTATTTTTTGGAGCAGTTTTAATAGAAATCACCAACTTTCAGTGAGGTGGTGGGTGGTGGATCTCTAAGCAGGAATGGAGGGATGGTGTTCAAAGCCAGACTTGTAGATTCCAACCTCAGACAAGGAAAATACTTTTAAAACTGTATCCAAGAGAAAGAACCCATCCATCCATCCATTTCTGTCTTCCCCGGAGTCCTTCCAGAGGTGCCTGGCATCTTGTCTAGCCTGAGATTTTTTCACATGGCCTATTTACCAGTGTGGACCTTTGAAACAATTACTTATCCAAAGAGATGTTCCAGGTTGGTACCTGTATGCAAGGAAGAGGGATATCTTGTGTTCAAACATGTCTCTAGAGTTAAATATTAAGAGCCCACATGGCTTAACATCAGCACTCCTCTGTGTTGGATTTAAAAGGTGCTCATCTTAGAGCAGGTATAAAGGTATTTCTGGCTACCTAAAGGCCTTCTAGAATTACTCCAGCCTTCAGAGTCTCAGTTGGAAAACCTCTTTGAAAAATACTGTCTTCCAACCGCTGCATCCAACTCCCCCTCTATTCCGATGGCCAGAGAGGAGAAGGTAGAGAGACCACAACAAAACCCCTCAAATGTGCTGCTTTCCCTCCATCTTAAGTGAGGGCTGCCAAATGGTTTGACATTTAAAGTAAACACATGCGATCTTTCAGGACTGAAGACCAGCTCTAGTCCAATTACTACCATCTTGGTACATTGTGCAAGGTTAGGGAACCTATGGTCAAAGGAACATGTATTTAAGAGATGAAAGAATTCAGAAAAATTTGAACACTGGGAAAGAAATGTAGAAAACTATTTTATTATTTAAGAGCAGTAATTGTCAGCTGGAGACATTCTTGAAACCATCCTTTTCTCCCAGAAGCCTTTGCAGAATCTCTGTTGGGTAGAACACACCTGGTGGAGATGGAGAGACACAAATAGCCTCAGAGATGACTCCCAGAAAGCTTTCTCAGGGGAGGACTTTCATTACTAGATTGCTGTCGTGGGTTGGTGAGATCCGTTTGCCCCTTCGGATATATCTGGGTAATGCACCTTGATAATGAAATTCAGGAAGAGTGCCCAAGCTGGTCTCTTTTGTTAGTCTTTGTCTTCTAACAATATTAAAGCTGATTTTCTGAAATATACATTGCTCAGAAGGATGCCAAAATAGCACTGTAATTACATGCTTTCAGTCTATACATGCTCAGCTCAACTGTACTCCAGATTGCTGGGGGAGTGGGGTAGCATATTAAACCAATTGATCTGGTGAATGCTTATTTGGTAATCAAGTTGCCATCAATAGCATGTGCTAATTACTACTTTCTATAGAATTATCAGGAAATGTCAGTTATCAGTAAGAGCTTGTGAGGCAGGACTGGTGCTTTTGTCACCTTCCTCTAGAATCTTTGTATGCATCCTTGCCAATATTTTTATATTTTATGCATTTGGTTCTTTTCTTTTTCCAGACCATACCCACTACTGTTTGGGTGTGTGAAGTTTCTGACTATGTTGCCCTGGGAATATCAGTATGGCTTTTGTAAAATTCAGCAGTCCAGGTTCTGATAAGTGTATTGCTATAAAAGCAAGGTTCAATTTGGCAGCTGCATGTCCTTTGTTGTTGTTGTTCCTGAGTCCTAGGCATGGCCGGAATTACTGAGATGGCTTTTAGGTTCCTGACCCAAATTGGAAAGAGATTATAAGTCGCTGGTGACAGGCAGGCTGGTGTCTGTTATTGACTGGGTCAGAGTGGAGTGGCCAGATGCTGAAGAGACAACATTTTAGAAATATGGTTCTAAGGGCCAGGGATGGCCAGGTCTCCACATATATCAGAGACTGCTGGCAATCCATCTTGTGATCAGCTCCCAGGAGCCAAGGGGTCAGGGTTGAACCAATCAGTAGGGCTTGGGTGTCATTCTGACTCAGAGAGCAAGTGAAACAGAAAACTGCTGACAGCAAAAAAGCCCTGTCAAGGGAGACCCCTGAATTTATGATTCCCAGTGCACGATGCTAAACATAGCAATTGCCTTACTCCCCCCCACCCTTGAAAATGAAATTGAAGGGAGCAGGAAGATGAGCTCACAGAGTGTGCTTATCACTGGGTGAGTGGAGGGAAGGGGAGGTGGGGTCTAGAAGGGCTGCATATTGTATGCCTCAGGCTCCACTGGAATTCATTTCTCAGTTTTAAGACTATAGAGAATGCCTTCCTTGGGTAAAATGGATATGAGTGGAGCTATGATAAAGCCATTCCATGTTTGCCAAGGCAATCTCTTGTGAGCCGTTGAAAGCTTAATTCTCCAGAAATAATTTCTAAATCTAAATGAGACTTGCAAAGTAGAAATGGCAGCTTATTACAAACCAAACTGTAGGTCTGAGCCTCTGACCCAACGGTCATGTTGTTTCCCCTTTCTGTTGTACGATGAGGTATCCTCTCCTTTGACTTCTGCACTTAGTGATGTGCCAGACCCGGCCAAGTCCTTCATAGATGAGACAAGCCATATTCACATAGCACTCCTGGTCAGTGTGCTGTAGATCTTCCAATTCCAGATACGCCTGGCTTCTTCATAGTTCGAAGCTCACACACAGGTTAATTTCTTGACAATTCCCTGTGCACCTGCTCCCATGGCTGTTTCAGTTATAAAGATGTCTGAATTTCCTTCCTTTAAAGGCAAGCTAAATTGTTTTCTATAGTGAATTGTCTCCCTCACTGGATTCCCTTGTCTCTTGGAAAGAACTGAATCTCCATTTCAATTGCCTGCCATCATTATTTTAATGTAACAAAGCACAGGTAACTTAAAATCCTCTAGCATTAGTAGGCAGAAGCATAGATCGCAGGATAAAAAGTCTTAGCTAGGTTTGCATTTCAAGAACTTGTCCTCAGGGTTTGAACAATACACCTCACAGTGCTGGCTTGCCCACACTCACCCCTTCCCTGCCTTTAACAGCCTGTTGTGGGGCAGGAGGCATGCTTCGTAGAAAGGGTTTGGAATCCAGATTACAGCAAATCTCTTTCTTTATCAGGGCTGTGGGACTGCTCTCCCCTCCCTCTGCCCCTCCCTCACCCCGCAGCGCCAAGTCCTTGGAATGAATTAATTAGGGGGAGTGTTTAAAAATATCTCATAGTTCCATCTCCACGTGCTCTGTTATTGATGGGAGGCAGATGGGCTGCATGTTTGTCAGCAGAGGAGAAAACAAGTGATATCTCACTACAAACCTGTCTGATTAGCTTCAAATAACACCAGAGAAGACAATGGGCCCCAGCTATATTGATAGTGACTGAAAGCAGTCTTAACCTTTTAAAGGGTATACCTTTTTTTTCATAGTTTTGTTGCATTTTCAAGATTGTTTCCCAATGGCACTGGTATTTTCTTTCATTTGCTTATTTAATGTCTCACTTAGACATGCAGATGTGTTCACTGTCTGATGAAATGTCAGCGGGAGTTTTTGGCAATGTGGCCAGCTGCCTTGGATTATAGACTCACTGAGCGAGGGCTGGCCTTTGAAATGAGAATGAAGGGAATGAACTGCACTTGGGCAGCTGGACTTGATCTGTGTCAACCCCAGTCCCCTCTAGGATGGATGACGATAAAGATCCTGTATGAGGTCCTTGAGGACAAAGAGGTAGATATTGTCCCTGTGTGTCATGTATATTAAAGGATTCATTTAAACGGCAGGTGGGACTTTCTTTTGTTACATTGGTCAGGACGACCATCTGTCATTTGCTGTTCCTAATCTGGCACTGGACTTTGAATCACATGCTTCCACTCCTCCCCAGCCTCTGCTTTCCCTCAGGATCATAGAACTGGAAACAGACCCAGAACCTCTATTTGCCTTGGCTTTGCTTTTTTGCGTTGCTTTAAATGTGAGGTACTGGACAGTACAGACCAGGTGTGGCCCAGAAGTGTGTTCTCTTTTCTGCTCTTGATGGATTTTGAAAACGTTCTCATTATTTGTCTGCTTGAAAAATAATTCCTAATTTTGAATTTTTCTTTTTGTTTTATGTATTTGGGTG